AAATTCCTGAAGTGATTGGGATAGAAGATAGGCCTTCTCGATGACAATAAAGGCAAATTTGTAATTATTTCAATGAGACTGCTAAATTTGGCAATTTGGGAAATGAGGGCTATTATTTTAATGCTAATGACTTTCACCTATTGTAATTTGGAATCAAGTTGAAGACAGGACCAAAACCAATGCCACACTGCCTCAGTGGTACTGTGTTTTTTTTCTGGTCCTGGGGAAAAGGGTCAGATCTGAGAGGGGTTGAGGTCTATGTAACCATTAAATGTATTTTCAACTGCTATTCAGCCTTACTTCCTTACTTATGGTGTTTGTAGGAACTTGTTTCCAGACCTAATGTTTCTCTGAATAACATCTTAATGGCCAAATAAATTCTCAAGGGCTTTCCAGAGAAAGCCTTGAAATCCCAAAAGTGTTTGTAAACATCCATGGGCTGTATAATGTGTAAACAAATGATAGTTACAGAGGTATCAGTTCTATCTGGATTTCATCTTCAAAGGTTTATAATCTATAGGGTTCAGGGTGGTGTCTGGCTAGTGGACATGAAGGAAGGGGACATCTTGTACCCTTTCACAAACCAAATTAATCCTTGATTTTAAGATTCAGTGAATATTTGTCAAAAAATCCAAACTCATTCTTCAATATTTTGTCGAACACAAAGTCTGAACTTGAAAGTGCATTGCCAGACCAACTAAAGTAAAATCATGCTACCCTGCCTGAAAAACAAAAGCAGATGAGGAATGACTCATGTGACAGAGTAATTGTGTTGCAGACAGCAAGTTTTGAGTTTCAATCTCCATAGCACCAAAAATAAATTTATGCATTTTGTCAATCAATTTGGCAAATAGGCAACATCCTATCATACCACATTGTGCACATAATTCCAGTTTCCAGTTTGTGTTTTACAAAGATTTTATGCATTTAAAATAGTCTTGTTCTTTTTTAAGTAAAATGATCATTCATCAGAAGAATTAATAGAGGGGAGGCAGCACACTGCATAATTCTTCCAATGTGACTCACTGGCAGTCTCACTATCTTTCAGTGCTATAGTTTTCTTTGCTGTTTCATAATAACTGGGCTACAATTTTTTCTTAATTAGGAGTTGTTTATATTGTGCCATGTCTGTCATTTGTGATGATTCTAGTTATCACCATGAAATTCTGACTACTGATACCAGATCTGTTCACGTTAGCAAACATCTCTATACACTCTGCTTATTCTCTCCATTCACCATACATGCCTATGCTTTTTGCTTGTTGTTTAGGTTCATTGGTGTTTATTTCTTTGTTCCCATGTGTACTAGTAAGGAGATGACCCAGGCCCCAGCTTTGCTGTAGGCATTTCTAGGTGTGAGTTTGTATCTCTTGTGCTTTGATGGGATCTGGCTACGAAGAATCCAGCCAGAATCTTGTTGCAGGGAGAATGTAAAGTTCTATACTATTTTCCCTGGATTATCAGACAATGCTGGTATCTTTGTATTCAATATGTTTGTGCTCTCTTCAACCAGATATTTTGTTTCTCAGTGTCATCTTGAAGCAAGAGAGGAGACCTCTGCCTATACACCAAAATGAACACCATATCAGAAATGAGTGCCCTCAGAATTTCCTCAGTGCTGATGAGAGGAGAGTTGCATGCATACCTCATCCCCTCATCTTATGGAGAATAACCTGAAGGTATTTTCCACATTTCCATGGGACATTGAAGTTCAGTCATCTTCAGCAACATGAAGTGTTTAGCTTGTTGTATGGTCTTTACTGTCCATTTTTCCTTCCCTATGGTTCTTCCTCCCTTCGCATTGCTTTCTAATCATTCTAAAATTGGCAAACCCTAGAACCTCTTGGGAGCTGGGGCTGTATACAGAAGGTATGACTGAGTTGTGTGTATAGAGAAAGCCTGATGCTAGTTGAAAACTTCTGGCTTGTGTGTTGGCTTATCCTTTTAATATCAGATTCAAAGTGCTAATCATTATACAGCTATCCTATACAAAAACAGAATGAGTGTTTGCTATGTAGTGAGTTTAAACTCTACTATTTCTGATACAGGTATGGGCCAATGTGGAGACCAATTCAGTTTTTTCCCTTCTCTATCCATCTATCTATCTATCTATCTATCTATCTATCTATCTATCTATCTATCTATCTATCTATCTATCATTGTATACCTATTAATACAAAAATGTATTAGACACAATTCAGAACTCAGTTGATAATATAGGGATATTATGGAAGCTCATTCTTTGAATGTGACACACTCAGAACTTTTGCTTATGTATCACCATATCGGCATGAAATGTGAGATCAAAGATCCTCTCTGCTATTTTCAAGCCTAGTTTTCTGTTAGGATTTTTAGTTTCTTTCTTTTTTTTAAATTATTTTACTGTAAACATGCTGTATATAAGTAAGGTAATGAGTACATTTTTTTGAAGATTGTCACCCCTACCTTTTTTTTTTTCCTACTATTACTTCCCTCTCTCACCTCCCCTACTTCTCCCTCCCTGTCTTTCTTTTTAAACAGGGCCAACAGCCTTTGCTATTTGTGAGAGACTAGAAAATGGAATGGTCTGTATCCTATGAATTCAAAATTTGTCCCTCTAGTAAGGTTTGCTGCTTGTATCCTTGGCCTTGATCTTCCAATGTTTCCTTGCCATTTGTGAGTTGTAAGCCTTTTAAGGCTCTATCCTGAAACAAAAACTGATGTTGTCTTTGAAACACTTGACAAAAAATATCACTCTTACTGTGCTTTGGGTACTAGTTTCTAAGACTCTGAGAAGCTGAGAAAAGTAGGTGTATTTGGAAATTTCTGTTGTAGTTTGCATTAGAAAGGGAAGTGCTCATTCTATTGTGGAGCTCCCTAGGGAAACTGACTTTCTTGTTGTGGTCCTGAATATTGTAGGTGAATGTTTTCCCAGAAACACTGTGAGATTATAAATGATGGCTTTTGCTTTTTGAGTTCATGATTTTTGTTTGTTTTTGGTGAGGTAACTTTTTGATTTTGTCTGCTTAAAATAATCATCTGTTTTTTTAAGCTTGTACTTAATTTGTTGGAGTTTGTTTTTTAAGAATCTTTTTATTTTTTTGCTGCTAAGATAATTTGTCATTAACAATAATTTAGTGAGAGGCTGGGAAGGTGCTCAGTGGTAGAGTGCTTGCCTTGCATGCATGAGGCCCTGGGGTAGATTCCCCAGCACTACATAAGCAAAAAAAAAAGCGGGGAATGGTGCTGTGGCTCAAGTGGTAGAGCTCTAGCCTTGAGCTGAAGAGCTGAGGGACAGTGCTCAGGCCCAGATTTCAGGCCCCACAACTGAAACCCAAAAAAATAAACAAAAATAAAAAATAAAAACAACAAAAAACACAGTAATTTATTGAATTGTTTAGCCACTCCCAGATGAAAAACAGAAATAAAAGTAATTAGCTGAGATTGTATTTTGAGATTAAGAAAGTAAACAAAAAAGTAAAAAATTATAAAAACAAGTTATTTCTGTATAAAAATTTGTTTTGGCCTTATTAGGCTAGCAAATTTTCAAGTTTAACTATATAAACAAGTGACCTTTGCTTGTTTGAGGTTTTCATAAATATTTTAGTTTATATGAATGTGTATATTTTTAGTAATCTTCCATTACATCATTGCTTTTTCCTGTACCATATCTCAAGTGCAGATGCATTCCATTGACAAAGAAATAACTTTTAGTTCTTCCCTATATTTTTCAGGTGGTTTAAATTTTATAAGTAATCTAAAAGCATCTGTTCAAAGTGAAGTTTTAAAAAAGATAATTTATTAATCATACATCTAATGGAAATAATTTATCAATAAATGGAAATACCAAGGTTGTTGCCAGGTGTTATCTCAAGTACTCTTGGTTTTGTAAAATCTATGAAAAGGCAGTTATGTTTCTAGAGTCCATTCTGTTACTTTTCTCTTTCCTTTTTCTTTCTTCCTTCCTCGTTCCTTTCCTTCCTTTCTTTCTGTTTTGTTTCTTTCTTTTTTGACTTTTTTTTACTATGCCTTCCACGCTATCCTTGATCATGGAATTTTCTCTGTAAATATTCTACCTGCAATATTAGAGTGACTCATGAAATAGTAAAAAGAAGCTGAGAGTAGCTGAGAGAAGGTGGTGAACATGAATACAGAAAGTATGATAGAAAGAGGACATGGCCTCTGTATGGTGAAGACAGACTATATTAATTCTGATAGAACTGAGAATCTAGATTCCAGAATGATATGAGTATGGGCATACCTGAATAACATGATGTAGGAATACTGTCTCACATTTGTAAGGTCTCTGAGCAAGTACAGTGGCCTTTTAATGTAAACTCAAGTTTTAAATTAATATAGGAATATCAATCTACATATGGAAGGGAGATTGATTTTTGTCTATTCAGAGATTTTATTTTTGAATGTATTTCCACCTACTAGTGTAAATAGTTAATTAACTATATTAATGCCAATATGTTTTGATCTCTTGACGTTGTAAACAGATGTTCTATCATTTAAGTCGTATCTTCCATCATATGTGTTTATGTTATTTTTCAGTTATTGTGTCTCACACAATTTCCGAGCCCAGTCTTAGGCTACACTCTCCTGTTATGCTTCTCCCATATATTAGTATCCAGGCATGTGCCATCATGTCTTTTATTCCAGAAATATATCTTGTGACCTTTCTGGGATGTCCTGAAACTCTGGACCTCCTAATTTTGTCCTCCACATAGCTGAGATTGTGATTGCTGGTAGGATCTGTCACACTGAAAGTAAGTACTTCATAAAATTCAGAACACTTTTTTTGCAAGGGCCTTGCTCATCTAGAAAAAAAGTACAAAGTATGAAATTCCTAAATGGTTCTTAGGAAGGAAAACACCAAATGATCCATCTGATTTTGTTGTACATATGCACACACATACACACATACACACACACACACACACACACACACACACAAACACAAACACACCAGTTGTTGAATTTTCTTTTTTATAGTTTTTATAGTTTATACAAAAAATCTAGAGAGTGTTGGTTGAAGTGCTCAGTGGAAGACAAACACCTGAGACAGTGAACCTCAGTGAGCAGCTGTCTGAAGAATATTCTTCTATGAGAGGAAACTTGTTATTCTCCTGACCATAGCAATTTGCAGAATCTTCAGCCTCCACTTGATTTATGGTGAAGTTGAAATCTGTCTCAGACTCACTGCCACTGAATCGGTTTGGGATCCCACTTTCCCCATTGGATCCTCTATAGCTCAGAGGTTTTGGAGGCTGTCCTGGTTTCTGTTGGTACCAATATCTGAAACTCTACAAAATTCGTTACAGCATTCTCACTGGCTCTTCAGTTGATGATGGCTATGTCTTGAGGAGACAGGGCCTGAGATGCAGGAGTTTGAGTCAATACAATGTCTCCAGTGGAGCCTGGAATGGTAATCATATTTCAAGAATGGCCACAGATGTACTAAGACCATCCCAATGTAGGCATATTGCATTAGTGACAGCTTTAACTTGTCAGGGCAGACACTTTAATTACAGGAAATTGAGCAACAAAGACTGGAAACAATCAGTTTGAGAATGCTGCAAATCAGAAAACAGCAATGGACATAATGAGTGTGAGTAACCCTTTCTGCCCACCTTACCTGGATCCCAGAGCAGAACAGCCACAGCAAGGAAGCCTGTGATCCCATCTCCAACATCCAGATTGAATGCTGTTTTTCAGGTCTCAGAAATTGCCTCTAAAGCATTATTTACCATAGCTAAGATATGGAACCAACCCAGAAGTCCCTCACTAGATGAATGGATCAAGGAAATGTGGTATATATACACAATGGAATTCTATGCCTCTGTCAGAAACAATGACATTGCCCCATTTGTTAGGAAATGGAAAGACTTGGAAAAAAATATATTAAGTGAAGTAAGCCAGGCCCAAAGAAACATAGGTCCCATGGTTTTCCTTATTTGCAATAACTTGTATATGTACAAGTCAAGCAGAAAAGGTCAGATAAGTTGATGTTAGGTAAAGTGAACCCTAAGATATGCATTTAGAGTTTTTTCTTTCATGTGATTGTTTCTAACATATTTAGAAGATGACTTCTTTTTTTCTCTGTATGTCCCTCCCCTACTATATAACCCCTGCTTTCACTGTAGTTGATGTTGGTATAATTTGATGTTGGAGGGGAAGGGAAAAAACAAATCTTTTAAATACTGATACAGGTGGACCCATTGCAACAACGAGATGTACAAGTTGTTATGTTGAAAAACAAACTTTACAACTTTGGTGGGAAGGGGAGGGGGAGATGAGGGGATGGGTTGGGGAGATGGCAAGAGATGGGAAGGGGAAACAAAGGAGGCGGCAACAATGTTTGATAAGAAATGTACTCATTAGATTGTTCATATAATTGTAACTTCCCTGTCCAGTATTTTCACAATAAAAAAATTAAAATTTAAAAAAAAATTTTTGAGCATCTTGGACTGTTATGTAATGACACAATGTGCAAATTAATTCAGAAGGGCTTGCCTTGATGCTTAACGGAGACATAGGTTTTCTTTCACTCAGTGGGAGTTGTAGCTAGACAAAACAAAAATAATCTAGAATATTTTCTAGTGTAACTCAAATATTTCCAGGAACTTGTGAATTTCTCTGTTGTAATTTTATTTCTACCTAAGATGCCTTGTGGGAGACCGTGCATGTTTGCCCTTCCACACATATGCCCTTCAGAAATGCTTTGTATTCCCCAAATTGAAGTTGTCACAACAGCTCAAACAGCAGTACATTCCAAAAGGAAGTCATTAGAGTTTATAGAGGAATGAAATCACTCATCTGGAGGGTAGAGGAGGGAGTTGTCTTCTTAATTAAATCTTCTGAACAGCATGTCTGAAAATGCCATACAGAGATGGAAAGGTTGGGAGGTGCGAGCGTGCTACAGTAGTCAGTGAGCTGGTGTTACCAATGAACAAGGAAGCCTTTCTGGGTTGCCATGTTATTCACACAGTTAGACCAGCCTGGGTTACATAGTGAGACAGGTAGGTTCCCAAACTGCATGAACTTACTTTACCTTCCTGTGGGTACAGAAGACTTTCCTATTTGCTTAGTTTTGAACCAAGATCTATTTTGCCCCTAGTTTTCCAATGGTAGTGGAATCATTGCGGTGGGTCCTAATTAGAGTGAGAAAAATTCAGATCTATTCTTTTAGGCATATCTTTGTCCTAATCAATGGAGCTATTAGCTGAGGAACCCCAAGTTCTCCTATAGATTGACAAGATGATACAAACACATTGGATAGTGTTCTGTAATCAAGGAGATTTATTTTAGACCAGGGAGTTAATGAAAATTTATATCTAGAAATATGATTTGGAGGTTAAAGGATACAACAAGTTCACCAAGAATCAACTATTTATTATACTTGTGGGCAAGAGTATTTGTCTGTTTATTTGGAAATATGCAGTTTATTTAATAAATTCATGGGAAGTATTTCATTCAATTACAAAAGTTATGGAGTATTTCATTGTCAGGTGTTGGTGACTTTAGAGTGAAGGCATTTCTAGCTATTCATGAAGCTGTAATCTGAGGAGTTAACTTTGAAGCCAGACTCAGCAGGAAAGTGAGATTCCAATAAAATGCCAAAAGCCAGAATTGGAGCTATGACACCAGAGGAAGAATGCTAGCTTTAGCATAAAACGTAGTGACAGAACATACGCTCTTTTTTATAGACATTTTAACTGGGGTGAGGTGGTATCTCAGTGTTATTTACATTTACATTTTTTATGGCTAGAGAGGTTTAACATTTCTTCATGTGTCTAGTGGCCATTCTTCTTCCCTCTTCAGAGAAGTTTCTCTGTAAGTCTTTAGCCCACTTATTTATTGGGCAGTTGTTTCTTTGAGGATTTATGGTTGGAGCATTTAATTTCTTGACTTCCAGGTATATTTTAGATATGACACCCTTGTCTGTTGTATGGCTAGTGAAGATCGTCTCCCAATCCGTCGACTTTCTATTGATCTTGCTAACTTTGTCCTTTGCCTTGCAGAAGCTCTACAACTTCATGCAGTCCCATTTGTCCAACCTTTCTTTGATTTGTTGTGTTTCTGGGTCTCTATTAAGAAAATTTTGGCCCGTGCCAAGGAGACCTACGGTTTCTCCTATTCCTTCTTGTAATGTTTTCAGGTGTCTGCTTTGACTCTGAGTTGTTTGATCCATTTGGAGTTGGTTCTGGTGCAGGGTGATATATATAAGGATCTAGCTTTAGTTTTCTACAGGTGATTAACCAATGTTGTCAGCACCATTTACTGAAGAGGCTGTCTTTCTTCCATTCTATTTTTAGCTCCCTTTCGAAGATTAGATGGCTATAGGTCTATAGGTTCATTTCTGGGTTTTCAATTCTATTCCATTGGTCCTGAGGTCTCTTCTTGTGCCAGTTCCAAACTGTTTTGATTGGTATGGCTTTGTAGTAGATCATTTTTGCTATTCGGGGTCATCGCTGTAATCAAGAACTCTAATAACAAGAAATGCTGGAAGAGATGTGGACAGAAGGGAACCCTACTGCATTTTTGGTGTGTAAACTTGTTCATCCACTTTGGAAAGTAGTGTGTAGGTTCCTCAAAAGACTCCACATAGAGCTTCCCTATAACCCAGCAATCCCAATTTTGGGCACTTACCCAAATGATCACAAACAAGACCATAATAAAATTACCAGCACAACTATGTTTACTGCAGCATTATTTATCCTAGCTAAGATATGGAGCCAACCCAGATGCCCCTCAGTAGATGGATCAAGAAAATACAGATTATATACACAATGGAATTCTATGTCTCCATCAGAAAGAATGACATTGCTCCATTTGTTAAGAAATGGAAAGACTTGAAAAAATTATATTAAGTCAAGTAAGCCAGGCCCAAAGATACATAGGTCCCATGGTTTCCCTTATTTGCAATAACTAGTGTATGTCTGAGACAAGCAGAAAAGTCAGATAAAATGATGTTAGGAGAAATGAACCCTAAGATAAGGACACAAGTGATTTTTTTTCTTTCTTGATATTGTTTCTAACATATTTATAAGGTGATTTTTTTAATTTAATTTTATTTGTGAACATACTGTACAGAGGGGTTACAATTACATGGGCAGGATAATGTGTACATTTCTTACCAAGCATCGCAGCCTCTTCCTTTGTTTACCCTTCACATCCCTTCCCAGCCTCCCCCCTCCCCCCCAATCCCAATCCTTCTCCTTCCCCCTCCTTCCCCCCTCGTTTTGGACATACAACTTGTACTTCTCATTGTTGCAACAGGTCCACCTGTATCCTTAAACAACTGGTTTTTCCCCATCTCCTCCACAAGTTATACTGACATCAAGTATAGTGAAAGCATGTTCAACATCCCTAGCCATAAAAGAAATGCAAATCAAAACAACATTGAGATATCACCTCACTCCAGTTAGAACGGCAAAAATCAAGAACTCTAACAATAACAGATGCTGGAGGGGATGTGGACAGAAAGGAACCTTACTTCATTGTTGGTGGGAATGTAAACTTGTTCAACCACTTTGGAAAGCAGTATGGAGGTTCCTCAAAAGACTTCACATAGAACTCCCCTATGACCCAGCAATCCCACTTTTGGGCATTTACACAAGTGTTTACAAACAAGACCACACTAAAGCTCCCAGCACAACTATGTTTATTGCAGCATTATTTACCATAGCTAAGATATGGAACCAACCCAGATGCCCCTCAGTAGATGAATGGATCAAGAAAATGTGGTCTATATACACAATGGAATTCTATGCCTCCATCCGAAAGAATGACATTTCTCCATTTGTTAGGAAATGGAAAAACTTGGAAAAAATTATATTAAGAGAAGTAAGCCAGGCCCAAAGAAACATAGGTCCCATGGTTTCCCTTATTTGAAATATCTAGTATATGTATGAGTCAAGCGGAAAAGGTCAGATAATGTGATGTCAGTAAAATGAACCCTTAGATATGTATTTTAATGTTTTTTTTCTTTCATGCATGTGTTTCTAATGCATTTACAAGATTATCTCTTTGTTGCTTTGTATGTCCCTCCCCCACAGTATAGACACATGAAGGTGATTTTTTTGTTGCTTTGTATGCCCCTTACCCATGATGTAATCCCTGTTTTCATTGTATTTGATGTTGACATAATTTGTGGAAGGGAAGGGAAAAAAACAAATTGTTTAAATAGGGACACAGGTTGACCCATTGCAACAATGAGATATACAAGATGCTATGTCGAAAAACGAACTTAACAAATTTGGCCGGCAGAGGGAGTGTA